GTTTTAAAAAACTCTGTGTAAAAATATATGTAATAAATATAATTGTAATAATTGGCTAATTATAGCGCCATACTTTAGATATAACGAACCTTTTTATAACGAACTCTGGATATAACGAACTCAAAATTTCTAAATATTAATATTAGTTCAGTATAACAAGAGATATGGCTATTAAGAAAACATAGTAATTCTATATAACAAACTTTTTTTTGGCAAGAACCGAGGGTTCGGTATAGAAAGAGTAAACTGTATACAATATTCCCCTGATAGTGATTATGAGGTCCCGAGAGTAGTGTTTGTAGTCGATTTTGCATTAGTCGATAAAATCGGCTTAGCTGGCTTAGTCAGCCGATTTTTCAAAAAATCGACTTAGTCGATTACAATAGGTTATATATATTATACTAAAATTTTAGACCAGATTATACTAGTATCCGAAAATTTCCAAAAAAAATTAACGAACATAAGGTTCGGGCAAAAAATTTGAGGAAATTTCCGATAACTTCCGAAGTTTAATGAAATAAAGCTTCAAATAATCGACTCTGACTTAGCCGGCTAAGCCGATTTTTAAATATCGACTTAGTCAAGTCGATAAATAATGGCCGACTACAAACACTACCCGAGAGGTCTGCAGTTCATTTATTCATTGGATATCTCTATTATTTTATGGTATAATAATTTAGACCTGGAAAATTTGAAATTGGATATTGGTCACAAGATTTATTCAAGAAAAAAAATATTCATTTTAATGACATGTACCTAAGCTACTGTACATGAAGTAAATAGTAGATCCTGAAATTTCACTTCTATGAAACCCTAATTTTGAGCTGTGCTAAAAAAAGTGTATCTCAAATATCATGATGTTTAAATGACTTGAATACAATTAAATTTTCTTCAAAATATTTTATTAGACGATCGATTGAAACTAAAAAAAGAAAAAAGAAACAATAATGGATATAATAATTTCAATACTTTGCCTTTGATATAAATCGATAATTATTAAAAAAAAAAAGACTCAAATAAACAAATTCAATCATTCTTTCTTAATCTCATTTTTTGTTTCTCTCTTAATAATCCTTTTAAAATTTTACCAGCTTCACTTTTAGGAATTCTATCAATAAACAATACACCGCCTCTTAATTTTTTATGCTGTTCGACCTTCTCATTTACAAAAGATTGAATTTCCTTCGCTAAAGCTTGAGATTGCTCATGCCCTTCTTTAATTATGACATATGCTACAGGAATTTCGGTTGCTTCTTCTTCAGAATAATATCCTATTACCGCTGCATCTGATACAGTATCATGTGTGAGCAGAACCGATTCCAGTTCAGAAGGTGCCACTTGAAAATCCTACAAATTTTAATTTTGGTGTTGACCAAATCTAACGACACAATAATATGCAAAATAATAATTATTACAATTGTACCTTGTATTTTATTAACTCTTTTTTCCGATCAGCAATATTATAGTTCCCTTTATAAAAAATAACAATAAATTAAATTACGTATAATTATGAACATACAAATATAAATGCTATCAATAATAAAAAAAATATACCATGTTCATCAACAGATACAATATCTCCTGTTTTAAAAAATCCGTCTTTGTCAATGACAGCATCTGTAGCTTCTTTATTATTAAAATAACCCTATATAAAATATAAAATTTTTAGTATAAGTAACGTAATTATATGAGTACAACAAATATACTATGTACCTTCATAACATTTGGACCATGAATCCACAATTCTCCGAGTTTATTGTATCCCAATTCTAAAATATAAAAACGATAAATTTATTTGAATATCAAATTAAAAATAAATACATATATATAGTTACCATGACCATCTTCTGATAATATTTTAGCTTTC